ATCTGTCCATCTGTTCATCAATTTGTCTCTTCATTTATCAGTCTATCTATCTGCCTATCCTTCTGTCTGTCCAGCTATCTGCCATCTATTTATTTGTCCATCTCTACCTCCACCTCTCTGTCTTATTGTCTATCTATTCATTTACCTCTCTCTCTATCTACTTATCGATCCATCTCAGTTCTCTCGATCTAGCTACATCCATCCATTTATCTGTCTACCTCTTCATTTACCAATTTAGGCACCTAACCATCTATCTACCTGCACATCTACCTCTGCATCTGTGCATCTATCTGTATACATATTGTTTGTCTATTTATCGGCCGTGCGAAAGTGCTTCGCCTGCCACAAAATCTGCACCCAACCCAGTGAAAGTGCTGCGCCTGCCACGACATCTGCAAACAAACAAATATTTACATCTTTATGATTGCACAATTCCACATGATTACTCTTGAAAGGGAATAAATAACATTCCGAACTGAATATCCGTGAAACATTAACATTTATATTCGATAGAATCAAAATCCTGAATGTTAACCAATAAAAGTCATAGTTCCATATCATCACCTCATCAAGAATGTCCTGAAATAAAAGGGTGCGGAACATTTTTTGGATATTCTCATTTTTGTGATGTTTTTAGTTTTTCGTCCGGGCCAGTGGAAATGTTGTATTTTACAGCATTTCTCGCGAAATTCACGCATTTACACTAGCCCGTCAACATCCCCAGCATCGTTTGCAACATCGCTCGCATGTCCGACCAACAGCCCTGGCATCACCAACAAATCGTGGTTAACAAAATCCAAAAAGTAGCTGGCGGGTTGACGGGGTCAAAAAGCAAATCAAACAGGAGGGCATTTCAATCCCAGTTATAAAAAAAACTGATAGAAGCCACGAACCCGAATGCGGACACGAAAGCGGACTCTTGTCACATCTCGTCTCGCGTCGCGTCTCTAGTCACGTTTCTATAGTCACGTCTCTCGTCACTTCGGGTCACGTCACCGCCACGCCTCCGTAGCAACCTGGCCACGTCTCTCGTCATGACTTTCGTCAAACCTTTCATCATGTGTCTCGCTGCGCGTCTCGTCACGACTCTGTCACGTCTCCCATCACGTCTTTCTTGGCGACTCCCGTCATGTCTCTTGTCATGTGAGTCGTCACCCCTCAAGTCGCGTCTCTGGTCTTTTCTCACTTGTCTCGCCGCGCCTGTCGTCATGACTCCGTCGCATTTCCCGCCGCGTCTTTCTTGGCGAGTCTCGTCACGTCTCTTGTCACGCATGAGTCGTCGGCCCTCGCGCCACGTCTCTTGTCACATCTCTCGTCACGTCTCTGGTCCAATCTCGTCACGTCTCTCCTCGCCAGGTTGAGTATCTGGCTATTCCTCTTTTTTGTGTATAGTCACGTCTCTGGTGGCGTCTCACGTCACGTCACTGGTCATGCCCCTTTGTCAGTCTCTTGTCACGTCTCTCTTTTTTTCCTTGTCACCCTCCACACTCACGAGCTTACGACCGTTACAACAGGTTCCTCCGCATCCTAGAGGCTTCGACTCCAAATCCCCCCGCAGCTGCCCATCACAAACGCAGCAGGCCACGTGCCATGCCAGAAGCACGCCACGGCAGAGTAAACAAAACTGCGACAAGATGCAAAAGACTCATGCCACAACACGGTTGTGTGAATTCGAGAATGGCTTTCAAGTGGCTTGGGGCCTATGACTGCTCAACAAGCTTTGCATTGAGAGCCCTATGGTGCCTGTCTGCGCGTCAAACTCCACTTGTCTGCGAGCCGATCTTGAGAACTCAAACATCGGTTCCGTTTACAAAAGCCAAACGAAATTGCTTATTAACAACCCAAAGCAACACAAAAGCATCACCCTTTCCGAGCCTCAGGGTACACTCAAAACACGAAGGCACCAATCCGGGCGGGACATTTAGCAAAACCAGACTGGCGAGCTGCTCTGGCGAGATACTGGCGGGATCCACTGGCGAATACTGGCGAGCCGCTCCGGCTTGGTAGTTGCTGGATACTCAGCGGGATACTTGGCGGGATCCACTGGCGGGCTGCTCTGGTGGGATACGCGGCGCTGGCGCTCTGGCGGGATCCACTGGCGAGCTACTCTGGGATACTCAGCGGGATACTCGGCGGGATCCACTGGCGGGCTGCTCTGCTGGGATACTCGGCGGGATCCACTGGCAAGCTACTCTGGGATACTCAGCAGGATGCTCTGCGGGATCCACTGACGAGCCGCTCTGGCGGGATACTGGGCGGGATCCACTGGCGAGCCGCTCTGGCGGGATACTGGGCGGGATCCACTGGCGAGCCGCTCTTGCGGGACACTTGGCGGGATCCACTGGCGGGATTCCAACATAAAATCTAACAACCCCTTCCTGTCGGGTGGGCAGAAACATAACAAATATTGATTCTACAATAACATGACTCAGAATCCAAATCCTAAATACTACTCAAAAGAAACCATGATCCATATCATTACCTCATCAACAATGTCCTTCGAAATTAAACAAGATCATTCAATCATAATTATGCTACCCCTAAACAATACAAAATATTATGTCCTTTGAATCATAATTCAGGATGCACGGCAAATAAATAACTCTCTCTCTCTCTTCATAATTACAAGATTCAACGCGGTTTACTCTTAAACAAAAGCAAAAACATCATTCGAACATAACATTCAAAAAGAAAAACTTAACATAATCTAAAGTATGGCTTGTCAAAAAAAGAAGAAGAGAGAATCAGAATCCAACTCCTTATTAACCAATACAACATCATATTCCATATCACCTTCGTGATTTTAGAACATTGCTTATTTAGTTGGACTCATGTGTAAGTCAAAACCTAAAGTTTATCAAAATAATAAACTAGAAAACTCATATTCATAGCATCAGCAGACCATTGTTTTGCTTAGAAAGCCCAGCCCCAACCAAAATCCGACCAGCCGGCCTTACAGTGGCAGGGTCAGCAGGCGTCACGTAATAGGGAGGATGTCACAAAATATGGATCCCTAGGCAACCAGAACCTGAGGCGGGATAACATTATGCGATGAGCTAGATGATGGCCAGGGGTCCTTTCACGAAACTAGTAACACACACACACGAGTACACATGCGCGCATATGGAAGCGCAACAAATGTGAAAACTCAGCGTCAAAGCAAAAACGTGAAAGCATGAAAAAAAGCGCGAAGGGGAGAGAACTGCGAAAGCGCGAAAAAGGAAAGAGAAGGAAGGCGGAAGCAGGAAATGCTGGAAAGGCCTGCAAAGCACGAAGACGTGCCAAAACACGAAAACGGCAACAACGCTTCTCAGCTTCTCTCGTATTCTCAAGAATTAGGGCGACCATGCTCGTTTCGGCGACTTGGCGAAACAATGCGGGCAAAAGAAAACACCAGAAGAAGAATGGGACCTTTCCAACCCTTGCCATGGCAGTAAAACAGACTTTGCGCTTTGCAGCTACGAATGATGCAGAACCAAACAAACAAATTTAGGAAGAAAAACATGTGCCAACAGTGAGGGGGCCCCAAGTTCACGCGGCCGCTTTAGCCGGACCTCCAGGGCGCAAAGCAGCCGAGGATCGGAGGATCCGAGCAGAGGCCCAAGGCCCGGGCGCAAGCCTTCACGTCGTCGCCTTCGCCCTTCTCGCCCAAGCCTAGGGCCAAGGCGACGCAAGTAGCTGAGGTATGCAGTTAGCTTTATGGAAGTACATGCAGGAACACAATTAATCATACAAGCCAATTTTTAGAACTATTGCTTTTTTGTAATATATGTACATGTGTATATACATACATATATACATATATATATATATATATTTATACAAAACAAATATTCATCTTTAAGTTGCCCCCCCCCCAAAAAAAAAAACTGAGGCCTAGAAAAAGGAAACACGTAAAAATGCCTGGTTCTTGCACATGTGCTTGACGGAGTGTTTCCAAACCCTTCTGAAAGGAAAAAAAGCCTGAAAAGCGTCCCGGCCTGCCATGGCCAGGGCCATAATGTGAAAGGGCGCCGTGGAGCACAGCAGCCCCAGCGCCTCTCAGGCCGTGCGCTTCTGGCGTCTTTCCAGGGGCTCTCTTGCCAGAAAAAAAGACATGCGTTCCCTCGACCCAACTCAAACCCAAGAAATCTGAAGCCTTAGCAACCCTCACCCCCCGGAATGGAACCGGGCTGCAGGCCGTGAAAGCCACTTCGGCCTTCTGGTGGGTCAGGGCTTGAAAGGAAACGCCTGCCTTGGTCCCTGCGTTGCCCACGCCCTTGGTGCGGATCTGGATCGCCGAAGCCTGTGCTGTGCAATCGCGAGCCGGCGAGCCGAAACCCGCAAGAAAAAAGGCCCCAAGAACGCATCCATCCGTAGGCATCCGCTGCACCATGCGACAAGTGCCCTTAACCTTGTTGTAGAATGAATCTCGGGGATGGGCACGTCTGAACCCGGCCGATGCCATGATGGGATTCTCATCCCCTCTGGCCAAGTACTTTATCACAAAGCGGGAATTCTTCGAACCACCGGGAACTATCCAAACCAGGGATCACCTGGGTCCGAAACCAGACGCGGCCATGCACCCTATGTCCGCCAAGGAAGAGGCAAAAAAACGAAGAAGAAAAACGTCGGCGACGCGGGCCGACACGGAGCCTCGCCGCTCCGCCGCCCCGCCTCGCACAGCTCCTTCAGGGTCAGAATTCGCTGGGTGGTCAGCCGCGGGTCCGCCTTGGGCGGACAAAAACTCGGCCTTCAGGGCAAGAAATCAAGCATCCCAGCTTGATTAAAATCGATGGCTCGGGATCGGCCGCCAACTTTCAGGCTTCCTTATCAATTCGTTTGGCGCAATCTGCGGGGTCCCTGATTTGGGACCGTGGTGAAGCGTGCGAAACACCGAGCTTGCGGCCGAGTCCGGCCAGAACTTGAGGATGAGATCGAAAAATCTCATGATGTCCCCCAGCCCTGCGCCCTGAGCATGTTGATCAAGGGCACTGCATCTATTTCTGTGGCCAATCCAGGTGATCTGCCCCAACCTTCGGGCCAGTCTTTTGGAGCTTTGGGGCTGATCTCCGGAGAGCGAACTCTTTGAGGGAATTCTGCTTGCGGCAATTGGCCTTTGCGTGTTCTGACCCCGTCCAAGTGAAAATCGCTGCGCAGGGCCAGTGTCTTTTTGCTTTGGAGGGGACTCCTCTGACCAAGATCCCGGCTTCCTAGCCCAAAAACCTAAACCCAAACCCCAAACCCTAAAAACCGTAAACCCTGAACCTAACCCTACACCCTAAAAGCCTCAAACCGCAAACCCGCCGTGGAGCGGAACGCATGGATTGGAGCCTGATTCCCGAGCCTCCCAACACAGCCCCTTGCGAAATCAAAAACGAGTTGGAGAAAACATGCAAGTCCCTTTTTTTTCGGTTTCTCCAAATAAGCAGTGCATTGGGAAATGGGGTCTGAAATTCGCCACACGCTTCTAAGCTTCTAAGCCTCTAAGCCCCTTGAAGCACACAAGCCTCTAAGCCTCTAAGCCTCTAAGCTTGTAAGCCTTTGCAGTCCTTGCGCCTCTAGGCCTGCGCGCTCCTAAGCCTCTAAGCCTCTAAGCCTCCAAGCCTTCCAGCCTCCAAGCCTTCCAGCCTCCACGCCCCTAAGCCTCTAAGCCTCTAAGCCTCCAAGCCTTCCAGCCTCCACGACCCTAAGCCCCTAAGCCTCTAAGCCTCTAAGCCTCTAAGCCTCCAAACGCTTAGAGGCTTAGGCGCTTAGAGGCTTAGGCGCTCAGAGGCTTTGGCGCTTAGCGGCTTCGGCGCTCAGCGGCTTCGGCGCCTAGCAGCTTCGGCGCTTTGCGGCTTAGGCGCTTAGAGGCTTAGGCGCTTGGCAAAGGCGCTAGAGGCTTAGGCGCTTAGAGGCTTAGGCGCTGAGCGCTTAGGCGCTTAGAGGCTTAGGCGCTTAGAGGCTTAGGCGCTTGGAGGCAAAGGTGCTTAGAGGCTTAGGCGCTCAGAGGCTTTGGCGCTTAGCGGCTTCGGCGCTCAGCGGCTTCGGCGCATAGCAGCTTCGGCGCTTTGCGACTTAGGCGCTTAGAGGCTTAGGCGCTTGGAGGCAAAGGCGCTAGAGGCTTAGGCGCTTAGAGGCTTAGGCGCTTAGCGCTTAGGCGCTTAGAGGCTTAGGCGCTTAGAGGCTTAGGCGCTTAGAGGCTTAGGCGCTTAGAGGCTTAGGCGCTTAGAGGCAAAGGCGCTTAGAGGCTTAGGCGCTCAGAGGCTTTGGCGCTTACTTCGGCGCTCAGCGGCTTCGGCGCCTAGCAGCTTCGACGCTTAGCGGCTTAGGCGCTTAGAGGCTTTGGCGCTTGGAGGCAAAGGCGCTTAGAGCTTAGTTTAAGCGGGAATCCACCGGATTTCCGTCTAATCTCCCTCCAGCACCTCTAAGCCTCTAAGCCCTGTAAGTCTTCCAGCCGCCACGCCCCTAAGCCTCTAAGTCTCCAAGTCTGTAAGCTTCTAAGCATTTCAGCCTCTGAGCCTGCACGCCCCAAAGCCTTTAAACCTCTAGGTCTGTAAGCCTGCACGCTCCAAAGCCTCTAAGCCTTTAAGCCTCTAATTAAGCCATCCAGCCTCCACGCTCCTGAGCCTCTACTCTAAGTCTTCCAGCCGCCACGCCCCTAAGCCTTCTAAGCCTTTCAGCCGCTGAGCCTGCACGCCCCAAAGCCTTTAAACCTCTAAGTCCGTAAGCCTGCACGCTCCTAAGCCTCTAAGCCTCTAAGCCTCTAAGCCTCTAAGTCTTCCAGCCGCCACGCCCCTAAGCCTCTAAGCCTCTCAGCCCTGTAAGCTTTCTAAGCCTTTCAGCCACCACGCCCCTAAGCCTCTAAGTCTCCAAGCCTGTCAGCTTCTAAGCCTTTCAGCCGCTGAGCCTGCACGCCCCAAAGCCTTTGAACCTCTGGGTCTGTAAGCCGCTTCTAAGCCTTTCAGCCACTGAGCCTGCACGCCCCAAAGCCTTTCAACCTCTAGGTCCGTAAGCCTGCACGCTCCTAAGCCTCTAAGCCTCTAAGCCTCTAAGCCTCTAAGCCTCTAAGCCTCTAATTAAGCCATCCAGCCTCCACGCTCCTAAACCTCTAAGCCTCTAAGTCTTCCAGCCGCCACGCCCCTAAGCCTCTAAGTCTCCAAGCCTGTCAGCTTCTAAGCCTCTTAGCCGCTGAGCCTGCACGCCCCAAAGCCTTTAAACCTCTAGGTCCGTAAGCCTGCGCGCTCCTAAGCCTCTAGGCCTCTAAGCCTCTAAGTCTTCCAGCCGCCACGCCCCTTTAGCGGCTTAGGAGCGTGCAGGTTTACGGACCTAGAGGTTTAAAGGCTTTGGGGCGTGCAGGCTCAGCGGCTGAAAGGCTTAGAAGCTGACAGACTTGGAGACTTAGAGGCTTAAGCCTCCAAGCCCTGTAAGCTTCTAAGCCTTTCAGCCACTGAGCCTGCACACCCCAAAGCCTTTAAGTCTTCCAGCCGCCACGCCCCTAAGCCTCTAAGCCTGCAAGCTTCTAAGCCCTTCAGCCTCTGAGCCTGCACGCCCCAAAGCCTTTAAACCTCTAGGTCCGTAAGCCTGCACGCTCCTATGCCTCTAAGCCTCTAAG